GAAGAGGTAAGAAATGTGAGAATTGAAATGGGGAAAAATTTGTGAGGAATGGTGTAGTAATGGCTTAGGTATTTATAGGAAAAATGAGATTTTTTTAGAATTTTTTAAAAATATTTTGGCCCCAAAAAAAAAAAAAAAACCAACGGTAACTCAAGTCAGCATGACATCAGCTAGCCGTTGCTAGCTGGCGTCACGCTAACGTCAGCTAGTCGTTAGGGTTTGAATGGCAGCCCGACTGGTTGGCTGCTTTGGGTCGGCCGGTTGGCCTTTTGGCCCTTTTTTGTCAAGTGGGGGCCATGAGTTCTTTGGCCTGGCCCTCGGTTGGAGACGATTTTTGGGCTATTTTTGGCCCTCTGGACCTTTCGGTTGGAGATGGCCTAAGTCAGTCCAATTAAAATTAGTCTGGTGCAACGCACACTAATGATTTAACCCTACCACTAGAGGGAGGTCATTGAATTTCTTTACCCTTAAGGGAAATTGAATTTTGCATAATTTGCTCTGCAAAACGTGTACTCAATTGCTAACACTAAGGTAAACTATTTTAGGTTTGGTCCATATTCGAATTATCCCCAATTTTGAAATTTTAGATACTTAATTTATGTTTGTGTTGCATGTTTAAGATTCGTCTTGGGAATAGTTATTTGAGGTTGTACAAATTGGAATTGGTAGGTCGAATTTAGCCAAATTTGGGTAATAACCGTGATCTCTAAGCCTCTTCCTCTTTTCAATTTCTGTTAATTTAGCTCCCAATCGATCATTTTCTTAATTTTTGTTGTCTGTGTTTTGTTTGGTTGCTGAAAAAATGTGAAGCGAAGGAAAGTTTGAATCATTTTCTGTAATTTTGGTTTTCTATGTTTTCTTTTTTTGCTGTTTTGGGTTGTACTGCTGAGTTCCATGTATTTATAGGATGTGAATACTTCGTTTAAGCTAAACATTATGAGATTTAGGGTTTAATGTTTTGCACAATTGGGTATACTTTCCCCGAAATTAAATGGAGATTTGTCCTTGGAAATGTTTACAAAACTACTCTTATGTGCAAGACCAAATCCAATCTGAAGGATGTAAGTTTATAACGTAACATAACGTAACCAAGAATTTTTTTCTGGGTTTTTCTAACCAAACCTTCTCCCAAGGTGTGATTATAGCAAGGTATATTCTCAGCTTTTTGTAAGGAACAAACGCTGAGACCATTTGCATTAAAGATTTCGGACATTGTTTTCGAAAAAAGAAACCTTAAATGGAAGATTGTTATCATATTATACTTTGAATCTGTTGTACAATATGAAATTTACTATTGTAACCTTGCACTAAACATTTGTGGTGAATGAGTTTAGTGCGTACAAGAAATGAAATCTCAAGGTATAACTGATGATCGGCTGGAACTTCTGAACGGTGTTAAAGTTCCAAATAATTTGTAAACAGAACTTTCTACAAATTCTTTATTTCTCATGTTTTGTAAAAAAAATAAAAATAGTTTAATATATTGTAATTAATTTGTTCAATATGCAAATGAATGTAACCCTTTGAATTTTATAAATCTAACTTCTATAACCTCTGTTTTTTAATAGTATATATTTTCAAAATATTTTAAATACCTGCAACATCTTGTAGACACTTTTATGAATTATAAAGTTGTCACGCCCCGATCCCAACATACGTCCATGATCGACACGTGACGTCACCAAATACTCGTCTCTAACATACCCCGCCTCTGGAAAAAGGTAAAACGTAACTTAAGATCCGACTGCATAATTATTCTTTGTAGACTTTATGGTTGCATCAAACATCCTCGTTAGATTGCCTACGTACCTTAAATAGGGATCAAGCCATTCGTAGTTCATTGCCTCAGTACACTCAAACATTCATCACATAAGTCGTTATGTCCCAACAAAATATCACAATGAATATCATGCAATCTTTCAAAGAACAAACGACGAAGCACAATCATATTCTCTCACCATATTTGTCAACAAGTCGGTCATAACAATAACAATGATATCCAACATAATAATCCCACAAGACAAATAACATTTCCACTTCATCCATCACATAAATCATCACGTTCCCACATAAAATCACATTTCATAGCGTGTAACATATTAAAGAATTAACAAAGCACAACATTATTCTCCATAAATATTAATCAACTAAAATAATCATAATAACAACACTCATGTCCAACGTCACTCCACAATCCCATCAATTAATCAATTCATGAATCAAGATGTACAATCTTAGCATTTAATTACGTTCATCAAGCAATGCGATAACAAAACATTTAACGAATTAACCAATAAACATGGTAATTCTAATTTATTTTCACAATATCTATCGTGGGTAATTCCCATCTACTAGAATTTAGGATTCTAAGATCATCTTACGGAATGAACAAGAGCACGGATTCCGGACCACTCAACGGAATCCAACAACATCGGGTTCCAGACCACTCAATGGAACCAAAATATCAAGCGGTTTCTCTTAATCTACCCTGACCTGTCATATGTAAAGTCAATGCCTACATTATGGGATTGGTGCACTCAGATAAGTTGCGCGGCTTGGGTGAGTGACAATAATATAAGCATATGATACAATAATAAAATCAGCCATCAATCACAATTTATAAACCTTGAATATAAATCATTCATAAGAAATCAATACCAAACTTTTGAAAACTCCGAGGGAGTCACCCAGACGTCCAACGGTTCACAACATCTCACAACCATATTCTCATACACACAATGAAAAGTAGGGTTAAAGCGACACAGTTCGGCCGAAGCCTACATCTTTGAAGCTATCTCAATCCAAACTCAATGAAACCCAAGGTGGATACGATCCAGGACCATCACTCAACGAAACCCAAACCAAGATACGATTCCGGACCATCACTCAACGGAATCGCGGAGTAAGAAGGATTTCAGACCATCACTCAACGGAACCCAAACCAAGATACGATTCCGGACCATCACTCAATGAAATCCAAACCAGGATATGATTCCGGACCATCACTCAACGGAATTGTGGAGTACAATGCATAACCACCAATCAATGAAACAACACATGAATCAAGTTACTCAAGTTATAAGGGCTCAACGAAACAAGAAATGAAATAATGAAACGAGGGATGAAATATGTTTTGAAGCAACAAACCCCATGACAATGGATTAACGGTCCACCACCAGCCCTCACCTTTCATCAAATCAAGCCAATCATACAAAACAAACCATATTTCCAATATGCACGTCAAATCCCACTTCATAAAACTACCTCGATGGCTAAATATAAAAATTAACAATTTATAGGAAACATAATTATAAAACCATGTCATATTCACATATATTAAAGTCACTCACATTTCATCATATCATACCATCTATGCAAATCAACCACCTTTCAAATATGCACGTCAAATCACATATCAAGATCATCATCAATACACAAGCCAAATCATGTTTAATAAACACAGGTCTATGGCTAAATATATATATATATATATATATATATATATATAATCACATTTCAATAGAAATCACATTATAAAACCAAGTCATATTCACAGATGATACCAATATAAGAAATCAAGGTAATAAGCATATCACATATGTTCAAGTCACTCTCTAACCAATGTAGGCCCGCTAGACTTCACTTAAGTCTCCCATAGTACTAATTTTATTATTTAGAATGTATCGAGACATGTTGACCACAATTCAACTCTCGGTCAACGATTAGGTCCACCACTCTACGTAATTTGATCTTGAAGATCTGCACATCGGATTTTTGATCCATAACTTCTCAAAGTCCACATTATGCTTTTGGAATAACATACTAAAATTTCATTATGATCCAATGGTCGGATTGTCGTCAATCACACAAACAAGTGGTGGTCCAATTTGATCACCACACCAAACAATTGAATTTTTGGAAACCGAGCTAGACATAGGTTCACAAGGTCACTAGAAGGTATTTGAAACCTAGACAACACTCGTGAACAATCCCATGCACCACCACACGCGGTGGTAGTCAAGATGGATGGTTTAGAAACTCCGAATTTTCAACATTAACTAGATGTGCTCAAATTTACATGGTAGCTAGAGCTCAATAAGAGAAACACTTTTCACAACTAGGCCGATGATAATTTCTAATCGGAAACCGTTCAAATTCACCAGAGAAAACCGGATTTCTAGGGTTCTAAACACTCAACTCTAAAATGAATACGAAAGCACGAACTAAGCATACCAACTCGAATATTATGAAGAGTAGATGAAGTTTCATACCTCACTCAAAGGAAATGGTTGCCGGAATCACCGGAAAAATGATAAAACCGACGGAAAAGTCATGGGCTTTGTGGCTTCGAACTGCAAAGATAGAAAAGAAAATGGGAAATCTAACACTATAGAGATTTAGGGTTCGTCAAGAGCTTTCCATGGACACTAAGATCACCCAAAACGGAGCTCGGATGAAGGAGATACAAGCGGGTCAAATTTGTGGGTTAACGGGTCAAATTAGCCCCTAAAACGGGTGAGCAGCAGCCCTTTCCCATTTTTCAGAAAACATCCCCCTTTTCTGGAGGTTTCACTCCCATTTATAGCATTTTGGTAAAATTACCAAAATGCCACCAACTTCAAACGACCCAAACTTCTTTATTCTGACTCGGAAATAAGATCCGTTTACGCCTACGCGCTCATGGAATCAAACTCTACCTAACCAGTTCAAGAGTTGACCGAAAAGGTCGAGAAAATTAGAAATGACTAAAGTACCCCTCACTTTGTTTTTCTCAAATTTGGAGAATTAACGAACTAGTTCCAATCAAATCTTCGAAATACATCAAAAATAAAATAAAATAATAATTTTGGGGACGGGATATCACAAAACTAAAACATGAACAAAAAATTAATGACGCAGAAAAGTAACTTCCATAAACTAAAACATATGATCAATGTAGAAAACCTATTCAACGAGTGTGTGTGTGTGTGTATATATATATATGTATGTATGTATGTATGTATAATTATGTAGAGGTGAGTTTAATTAGAAGCACGAGAAAGCATATATCAAGCTAGTTAATTACATATTTTAGGCCATTACATTACTTGATGGACAATTTTTATACCCTGATCGGTAACGAACGTGGTTCTTCATTATCGATCAAGTTCTCGATCATACCATTCTCGCGAGGACTTTCATGATGTCATCGATGGATGGCCGATGGAGAGGATCGTCCTCCACACAGGCCTTCGCTAAAACAGCTAAGCATAAGGCCTCTGCAAGAGGATAATCCTCCAACTGTGGATCCATGAAGCTCCGAAGTTGTTCGAGGAAACCGCCTTCGCTAGCACCTTCTCCCAAAAATTTGATGGACTCTTTAAACGACTTCCCATCAATGTCCTCTCTTGCTGAGATGAGCTCAAGCAAAACAACTCCAAATGCAAAAATATCCACCTTCTCAGAAGCTGATCCGTGTAGAAGGTACTCTGGTGCAACCCATCCTTTGTCATTTCCTTCCGAAAATCCCTCAGCCGATATGGTTCCAATGTTCGAAAGCTTTGCCCTCCAATTTGCTGTCACAAAAATGTTTCTAGTGTTTATGTCTAGGTGAGCACAAGAAGGGAAAGTACAACAGTGTAAGTAGTGCAGTCCAGTTGCAATATCGAAAGCTATTTGTGTTCGCCAATGCCACTTGAGAGGACTAGATGGACTAGACAAGCAGCCCCTCAAGCAGCCATTGCTCGGAAACTCAAAAACTAGATAAGACCATGACATGTGATTTTCGCCGTAAGAAACCGCCTCTAAGTTCAAGATATTGATGTGGTTGACCTTCGAATGCACGTCAATAACATGACTCGTGTCCTCAAATCTCATCTGCTTGATCATCACTTCAACATTATTTATTATTCCCCTGTACGCTTGAGAACCAATCTTGTTTTCTTCATTGAAATCCCTTGTTGCTCTTCTCAGTTCTTCTATGCTATAATTGAACAATGAGTACTTCAATCCAGCAAGAATATCAGGCGATAAACATGATGAAATCGGAGAGCTTCTGCCTGTCTGACCGGATTTAAACGGGCTTCTGACAGTTGAACATGAAATTGGAGAGCTTAAAGCAGTAAAGGACATTATCTTCTCTCTCTTCCATTTCCTTAAGGCCCTTCTATACAAAATTACAAATGCAATTAAAGCTGCCAGTAGCAGAGAAAACCCAACAACAGACCCGGCTACATACAATTTCTTGATCAGTTTTGCATTTCTATTAGATTTTTCCACAGAAATTGTGGGAAGAAAAGCAGGAGCTGGAGGGGGAGAATATTGGATGTTGAAGTTTAACACTGGAGCTGCTCTCAAGGGAACTAAAACAGTTGTATTCGGAAACACAGTTTCATCAGTTGCTAAATGATTCACTGATAAAAAATCTTCAGGAGAGATGCCAAACTTCTGGCTCAAGATGACTGGCCCGTCACCTTCTATGAGAGGGTAGGTCACAAGGTACTTCACTCCACTACTGCTAGCTAACTTATCAGGACAAGCACATCTTAGAGGCACATGAAGCTCAGTGCCAACCATAAGCTTGTTTTCTTGGGACATATTTTCCTCCCTGAGTGTAAATGACTTGAGCAAGCCTTCGAAAACCCCACAAGCAACCTCGGAGTATGACGTGTTTTGCAAAACCGTGTAGCTGAAACTTGCCTGAAAATATTGACCTGAGCAAGAACATTTAATGGGAATAATAACTTCCCTACCTGATTTCAGTTCCTCAGAAGGAGATGTGAGATTGTTGAGTCCAAGCAGTTGATCAGAATCCATTCGAAACAAGTCTGAGACATTCGAAACAGTTCGAAAATTTGGGTTGGCTCTGTAGACCAAGAATGTTTGGCAAGAATTTTGGAACATATTGCAAATGTATCTTGAGCCTGAATTGCTAGCCTCAACACCGCAATATGATTGGTCATAGAACTGCTGAGCATAGCTTGAACTTAGGGAAACCAAGATTAGAAGGCAGAGGTAAACCATGGTTTTCTGATATCAGAAATTGTAAATTTAATTCTGTTAGGTGGTTTAAGAAAAGGAGAGGAAGAAATGATTTGGTTGAGATGGGATTAGTTAATTAATTAGTTGATTGCTGATGAGAGAGCTAGCAATGAATGATGGCTACTTGTGTTTTAATATTTGCATGTCCGGCCAATATGCAAGGTGAAAAGCATAATTAAGGAAAAAAATATCCAGAAAATGCCACTAATGGCCGGCTAGAATAGCGATGATCAGATGGGAACACCTTGACATGTTTTTTTCTATGTGTTTTTTGCAATCAAATATCCTCCAATAGTTGTAGTTGCAATTTTTCAATTCAATTTTCTTCATTTTATTTTTTGTTAAATTTGACCAGTTTAGAGAGTAAGATGAAGGTTAAACTCTAAACAATCATGTGGTACAATCTGTCCGCATGTTAAAAAATTAGTGGATTCTTATTGATACTATAACGTAAAATTGAGAAACACAACCCTGTCATTTAAGAAATTTTTGTGTCCACCAGTTGAATCAAGTAGATGTGTACGACCACTCATAAACTCCAATACTAGAATCTCACTTTACTATGAGTTGGTCGGACAACTTAGCATATTACTATATATTAAAAGCCAACAGAAAAGCACTGTTCTTTAATATTGATACTTCTAAATCTATTGTATGCCTATGTTTACTCTTCATTTTAGTTATTCACTTCAACATCATCAATATGGTTAAACGTTATAATGCTATACGACGTTGATTTCATATGCAGCTTTCATTTGATGCCAGAGGGAGTAGTAGAGTTCGGTTTGGTGGAATTGGAGTTTAACAACTTAATGGTAGACGATTAATAGGTAAACATTTTAAATTCTACCAGGTGCATAGACTTGAATTGCAGTTTTATACTTCTGCTATAATTTTATAATTGCACCACAAGGTACCACTATTATTTATAGTTGCACCACAGATTACCATTAAGCAAATACACATTATAGAGTCCAACATTTTTTTTTTCTTCCTTTCTCATGTCCCAGAAGCTGCAATTTTCCTTATTGAAGATGGCAGAAATCCCAACTGCTTGAACAGTACCTGTGGCACACAAATAAGATGTAGCATGGTATCTTTCTAACTATAACGAAATCATGTAGCAATGTGGTACATGGGTGGTCCTGCTTGGTTAATCCGTATTGGGGACCACACCATTTGACACATGCCTATGGTTCTGCTTGGCTAATCTACATTGGAGGACCATACGCATTATAGGAGTGACTCTTCTTGGTTAATTTGCATTGGGGGGCCGCTGCCTATTTGGTTACGTTGTTTCCCATAGGTGGACCCACTTTGTTAATCCACATTGTGGGACCACACTATTGGATGCATACCTATGGTCCTACTTGGTTAGTCCGCATTAGGGACCATATGCATTCTAAGGGTGACTCTACTTCGTTAATCCGCATTGGAGGGTCACTGCTTACTTGGTTACATGGTGCTTATGGGTGTTCCTACTTGATTAATCTGCATTAAGGGACCCCACCATTTGATGCATGCATATGGTCTTGCTGGGTCAATTCGCATTGAGGGACCATACGCATTGTATGCGTGACTCTGCTTGGTTTATCCACAATGGGGGACCACACTATTGGATGCGTGCCTATGATCCTGCTTGGTTAATCCTTATTAGGGGACCATAAGCATTCTAGAGTTAGACTCCCTAAATCAACTACAACCAAGCAAATGTAGTCTTTTCATTCATTTCCGCCAAGCCAAAAATATTCATTTTTCCACATGTCAAAGGTTTGTTCGCTTGGCTTCAGACTTAGCATATGGCATCCCGCACTATATCTCTTCTCTTAATCAAATTCATGTTTACTGAAAAAATGGTGGTGCTATTCATAAACATCTTTTTATCTTTCACACATCTTCTCAATTTTCAACTGTCGGATCAAATAAACTAAAGAAAATCAAAAGACAAAAATTAATCTAACGTATGTGAGAATTAGACTATAACATTTATATGTATTTAACACAATCATTATATGACGGTCGGGTATAATTAATGTAAATATAGGTAGTTAATATATCATCATCTGACAGTCGATATGGTGATTCTATTAAATACATGTAAGTATTGTAGTCAAACCCAAAATTATATAGCTGATATGTTAATATTATTATGCTAAGCAGAAGAAATCTGCAAAGTCAAATGACTTTGATCAAAAATTAAAAACCAATAAAGTTTTAGTCAAAGAACATAATTGAGTAGGGACGGATCCTAATTTTCTGTCAATTTTATCACATGATGTTGGTCTTATTAAATTATGAGACTATCATGTAAGGCTAAATCTTTGACCTCTTCCGTTCATGAAGGGAAGGGAGAGGAAAATGAAACCTAACTAGCTTTTAGGTATAAGGATGAAAGTGGATTTTTTCAAAAAATTCTATGATTTCTTCCTTTCCTCATTTTTTAGTGTGGTGTTATCCACATATGAAATATTTTATATATTAAATTTTAACTTCTGGGATCAGTGAAGATTATTTGAATTGTAGATTAGTGAGATAAGAGTCAACAAAAGAAATACATTTATATGTATTTAACACAATCATTATCTTAACTGCAGAACTATAGAGAGATGGACAGAAATGGGTTGTGATTTCTGAGATGTGAGGTGTGATTTCTTACCCTATTGTGCCTTTATTTAAAATAGTAAGAAGGTAAATTCATTACCAATAAACATTACAATTTAAGTAGGATACTATGTAAAAGATATGGTAGAACCCAATAAGGATTTACTAGAATTTACAATTACATTCCTAACCTAATTAGGACTGCAACACCCCCTTGAGTGTGTAAATACTCAAGTAAATGGTGCATCAGGTCTTCAGTGATGAAGTACGTTTAGTTGATGAAGTCATCGACACAATGAGCGAATGCAAGTCTTAGATCAACAGAATAATGCATAAAAAGGTAAAACTTACAAAACCTCGCTCTGGTAAAATCTTAAAACTCATTATGGGAGAAAACCCCATGTTCTGAGGAGAAACGTGAGAAGTTTGCATTTAATCAAAATTAAATGTCTTCGGGACACAAGTAGAATGCTCATAAGGGTATGATCAGCCTAAGATAGGTGCCTCATTAAAACCTTGTTAGGTTGTAAAAACCTAGTGGCAAAAATGCTTCTAATAATAGGAAGAAAAATGGTCCATTAAGGTTAAGTGATTATACTTTTTGGATCAGTGAAGATTATTTGAATTGTAGATTAGTGAGATAAGAGTCAACAAAAGAAATATGATTAGTTGGATAATGACTCGTGTCTCTAATATGCACAAAAGATGGACAAGTTGTATAATATTTAATCATTAATTCTTGATTAATACATGTATTATGGTTTGATATGACATTCACTAAAGCTTCATTTTAAATTTTCACGTTTTTGAGCAAATCTTCATGATTTATGTCGAAGGCAATAAAGTCATGGTGATGTCAAAAGTGCTACTAATTTAAAATTTAAAGTAACTAATACTAGAATGCATATGTGAGCGGGGTTAAACCCTTATCACACAAGTGATGTCAAGGCACAATAATGTGTAGTAAAAGTAGAGGACACTTATACCATAAGAAGAAACCTCATTTATGTCAGTTTTTTTCAAAAATCCTTATAGTCACAAGAGCTTTGCCACATAACTCTGGTTCTAAAGCGAATGTGAATGGTGCAATGTGAACATACACGCGAAGTTGGTCCTTGCTTAGACTAGTACAGTAATTTGATAAACACTGTGCATATCAAGTAATAATGAGCAGATAGGATGCAATGATGTCATGCCACAGGTTTATGCTTACAAATAAGACAATAAGCATAAGGTGTACATTGATTACTCAAGGTTGTAAAAAACGCTAGGCGCTAATCGTACGACGGACTGGGGTCTAGTGCCTAGGCGGATTAGGGGGATTTACGTAAAAATCGTATAAATAAGTGTCTATTTATATTTTTAGAAAATATATAATTGTATTGAGATACATAAATTACAAAATAAAATAACACATAGATTATTTAAGTAAATTTATTATATATATATATATATTTATTTATATTTATATAAAATATGACTTGTGCGCAAAAGTTTAGGGATACTCTTGGTTTTGTAACGTTTCTTTCTAAGCCTAATATGTTTTACTCATTGTTGGGCCTTACTTTTCAGTTTTCATTAAAAAAGGATTAGGCCTTTGATTTCACATAAAATAAATAAAATAAATAAATAACTTATTCCCTAATTCTAAAAGAACTATCAGCTAACTTTAAAACCCCTAACTCTAACCCTAGCCAACATAGTGTCGTCGCACTTCTTCTTCTCTGTAATTGCAGTTTTACAGAGCTTTCTCTCTCTCCCTCTCTCCCTTTCTTCATCTCTCATCAAATCTTTGATGCTGACTCTTCTTCTACGCACGCGGAAATGGGACAAGGTGCAGCAACATGATGAAATTGCAGCGAGACGCCGAAGATTCACAACCTTTGCAGCAATAGTTTTTGAAGTTACAAAACCGCCCAGAGGTCACCGAAGCCACCTAGCCCTCCCAGGCGGCCGTCTAGGTGTGGCCTAATACCAGCGGTGGGCCACCGTCGAGCGTTTAGACGGCCACCTAGGCCAATTTTTAGAACACTGTGATTACTTGTAAAACTAAACATCGCATGTTACATCAATTATGCATAAAACAATTAGCAAGGAAGCTATATGTATATATATATATATATGTTATTACATAATATTCATAAAATAAAAAGACCCACTCACAATCAAGTGATCGAGTTAAAACTTAATTGCAGGTTTCAGAGGTCCTTGTGACGCGTTTCACCCACTATTCTAAAAATTGGCCTAGACGCTGGATGGTCGAATACCAATCCGATTTGCTCCAAGTCGATCACAAAATCGAAAATATATTAGGCAGACGTCTGAACGAGATTAGGCGGTACTAGGCGGAGCTAGGCAGGGATGGACGAGGACTAGGCGGGGTATGTGCAGAGCGTCGAAATCTGGAAAAAAATTGTTGTAGAGGTTGCGTTCTGCGTTCGATGTTCATGAGGAAGACGACGCGGTCTTTAAGATGGTGG